ATCCGAGTACTACAAAAAAGAAAAAGAAATCTTTTGTTCAGCTATAGAATTAACTTATATTTGTATGTTATACACAGGAAATGTTTTATCATATATCAAAAATGGTCTGTTTATCTGTAATTATATTTGTAATAATAAAACTTAGCTTCTAAAAAAACTATCAGAACAATTAAAGGTTGCAAGATACAAGGTTACTATACAAAAGTCAATTTACTTTCCTATATACTAGCAATTTAAAATAATTCAAATTTAAAGTAAAAATGCAACTATCATTTGCATTAGGCCTCCAAAACTTAACCACCTAGGTATAAATCTAACAAATTATACACAAGAGCTAAAAAAAAAAAAAGTCTTGAATATAAAAAAATCCTGGCCGGGGATTTAGCTCAGTGGTTTCACCGCCTGCTGCGCAAGCGGAAGGACCTGAGTTTGATCCCTGGTACCACAAAAAAATAAAAAAATTTTAAAAAAAAGTCTTGAATATACACAAGAGCTATATGAAGAATATTACAAATAGTTAAATAAGTGGAGAGCGCTAAATGAAGAGCTATTCCATGCTCACAGATATATCAATTCTTTTCAATTCATTTATAGGTTCAATGCAAACTCAATAAAAACTCAGCAAACTATTTTGTCACTACCAATAAATTGACTCTGAGAAAGGCAAAAGACCCAGAATAGTTGACCCAGTAACAAAGAGAAAAAACAGGCAAGGTGTGGTGGTGCACACTTGCATCCCAGCACTCAGGAGGCTGAAGCAGGAGGATCATCCTGATTTTGAGGCCAGCACAGGATGCATAGTGAGTTGAAGGCCAGGCTAAACTACATATGAAACCCTGTCTCAAAAACAAAACCATCAAAAAAACCCAAAAAAAACAGGAGGTAGTTGGAGGGCTGACAGTACCTGACTTCACACTGTACTGCTGATGAAAGACACAAGTGATGATGAAAGAGACAAACAGATCAGAATAGAAAGCCCAGAAAAAGACTTGCATGAATATAATCAACCAGTCTTCTCTAATGCAGTCCAGGCTGGACTTGAACTATAAATCATCCCACCTCACTCAGGGTTCCAAATGCTGGGATTACAGGTGTGCACCACCACATCTGGCTAATCAGCAACAATAATTCTGGCCACTTGAGCAGCTGAGGTGGAAGGATTGTGAGTTCAAGGTCAGTCTGGATAGACAAGTTAGCAAGACCTCAGATATTTTCCTCTCCTCCCTTTTCTGTACTAGGATTGAACCTGAGAAGCCCTGAGTAACATCTCCAGCATTAATTTTTTTGTTTTTGGACATGGGCTCTAAGTTGTCCACACTCCCCTTGAGCATTTGATCCTCCTGTAAAGGTCTGAGGTGCCATGCCAAGCTTTGGAAAGAAATATCTGATAAAGGATCGCTATTGGAAATCTAAAGAACCCTTGCGGCTGTGAATGTAATTCAGAGCTGGAGTACCTGCCCAGCATTCCTGGGTTCAATCCTCAGCATTGGGGGAGGTGTGTGTGTGTGTTAAAATTCAATAATCAGGGCTGGGGATTTAGCTCAGTGGTGCGATCTGGTACCAAAAACAAACAAACAAAAATTCAACAATCAGAATGCAAAAGTACTCAGTTAAAAAGTGGCCTGAAACCCTTGACAGACAACTTACCAAAGACGATGTGGTTGGTTAATAACCATACAAAAATATCCTCCACATCATATATCCAAGGAAACACAAACTGAAGGGACAATGAGATGCCACTGCACACTCATTAGCGTGACCAGACCCCAGAACTGCCAGCACCAGATGCCAGCAAAGGGTGCAAACTGTGCTGTCATGTGTCGCTGATGGAGCAAGCACAAAATGGCATGGCCACTGTTGAAGGTGGCCAGAAGTTTCTTGTAAAATTAAACATACTCTACCTGATAACCAACAACTGCCTTCTTGCTATCTACCCAAAGGGGCTGAAAACTCACATCCACACCAACATGCGTACACGGACATTTATAGCAGCTCACATTCATAACTGCCAAAACTGGGAGCGCTCAAGATGTCTTACTATACATCCAGACCACAGAGTTCTACTCAGAACTAAAGGGAAACAAGCCACCAAGCCATGAACAACCATGAAGGAGACATAAATGCATATCACTAAGTGAAAAAAGGCAATCTCAATTGGCTACGAACTCTGATTCCAACCATAGAACATTCTAGAAAAGGCAACACTATGAACATAGTAAACAAATGAATGGTTGCCAGGAGACCCTAGGGCAGTGAAGCTACTCTGTATGATACTAGGAATGGCAGATGCGTGTCATCTGACATTTGTCCAACCCACACACTATGCAAGACCAAGAGTGAGCCCTATGTAAATGATGGCGCTTGGGTGATGAAGTATCAAGGTTGATTATTCCATTTAACTTGGAGGGATGCTGATAATAGGAAAGGCTGGTATGTAAGGGTCAGGAAGTGGCTGGGAAATCTTTACCTTTCACTTGATTTTATTATAAACCTAAAACTGCTCTAAAGAATAAAATCTATTTTAAAAAATGGAATGAAGCACTGATGCTATAGCACAGATGAACCTCAGATACATGCTAAGTGAAAGAAACCAGACACAAAAGGCCTCATTGTGTAATTCCACTGAAAGGAAAAGCTCGGAACAGGTAAATGCATACAGACAGCAGATTAGAGGCTATCAGGCGCTGGCGGGGCGGGGACTGCTAAAGTGTAGAGTTTCTCAGGAGGCTATGAAAACATTCTCAAACTGGGCGTGGTAGTGCACGCCTGTAATCCCTGTACTTGGGAGGCTGAGGCAGGAGGATCGCTGCAAGTTGGAGGTCAGCCTGGGCAACACAGTTGGGTTCAAGGACAGCCTGAACTACATAGCAAGACTTTGTCTCATAAAAAAAGAAAAGAAGGGGCAGGGGACTTAGCTCAGTGGTGCCGCCACCTGTCTCGAAAGCCCAAGGTCCTCAGTTCGATCCCTGGTACCCAAAAACAACAACAACAAAACAAGAGAAGATTTTCAAATTGCTCCTGGGATCAAATGCACAATTCTGCGAATACTCTGAAAACCACCAAGCTACACAAAATGTAGACTGATTAAATGTACGGTATGTGACTTGCATCTCAATGAAGTTGTTTAAACTTAAATACTTAAATTAATAAGCTTTGAGAGGCTAAGACAGGGCCCAGGATGTAGCTCAGTGGCGCCACACCTGCCTGGCAAGCGCAAGGTCCTGAATTTGATCCCTGGTACCAGGGGAAAAAAAAAAGAAAAAAGAAAAAGAGAGAGGCCAAGGCAGGAAGATTCAAAGTTTGAGGCCAGCCTGGCAATTTGGCGAGATCCTATCTCAAAATGAAAATAAAAAGGTCTGGTGTGTGGCTCAGTGGTAAGGCATCCGCCTAGCATGTGTGAAGCACTGGGTTCAATCCCGAGTACAGTATAAATAAGATAAAATAAATACAGTATATGTATATTTCAATACTCTGATGTAGAGTACAAGTTCTATGTAATATAAACATGTATATTTAAATTCTGGTCAAAATCTTAATCTCATCATTATTGCAATTTAAAAAGGATAGTTTTGGGCTGGGGATTTAGCTCAGTGGCACCAAAAGGTCCTGAGTTCGGTACCCAAACAAACAAACAAACAAAGGGACAGTTTTTATTTACTGAACCCTACCCAAGTCCCTAAAATGCATAAATTTCCAATTTATTTGGATTTTCCCTAATATCCAATAAAGGAGAACAAAGCCAAGAATCCTAGAGTAATATCCCATGGTGTTCTGGCTAATGACAATAAACATTGAAAATTTGGGCTTTTTTTTCTTTTTTTCAGTACTGAGGATTGACCAAAGGGCCTTTGCACTGAGTTATAGCCCCAGCTCTTTTTTATTTTTGAGACAGGCTCTTGCTAAGTTGCCCACACCAGGCTCAAACTTGTGACCTTTCTGTCTCAGCCTCCCAAGAGTGTTAGGATTGCATGTATGTGCCACCAAAGCCAACTAAAACTTGGGCTTTTTTGAACACATATACAGAATTTAAATGCTCATCTGGGTCACGAAAAGAATGAGTCCTGGGGGGGCCAGGGGTTTAGCTCAGTGGTTTCGCCACCTGCTGCGCAAGCGCAAGGAACCGAGTTCGATCCCCAGTACCAAAAAAGAAAAAACAAAGGGAAGAATGAGTCCTGGGGGCAGAGGGGATCAGGACAGACACTGAGAGCTGGGCTGGGGAGCTTGGGGAAACGTCTTTTCTAAGAGTTAAAGGTGTACTTGCTGGACCCAGGGGAGGCTTCACCAAAGAAGCATCGGAAGCCAAACACCCGCATCCTAAAGCTCCTTGGGTCGCCACTGGCTCATGAGCACACCTTATCTAGCCCCCAAACTGCAGCAGGGCAAGTGGCCGCTTCCGTTTCTGTCTACCTAATCAGCCAGGTTCAACGTAACCAGCAAGTGATCAAGAAACAAAGCAAATTCACAAACAGGTAACTTACAGGGTAACAGGTATAAAATAAAAGAATCCTCCACTTCACAGATTCACTGAAATGCTCTTTAGCAAATGAGTCCCCCTAACAGACACACCTGATGTTTGCTGTTTACAGACTTTTCCGGGAACCCCGCACTGCGCAAAGCCACAGGAGGACTGTGTCGGCCGCCCTTGCTAACAGCAGCACCTCTCTGCTCCTGCAGCACACCCGATGAGGAACTCAAAAGCAGTTCACCGCACAGGCTTCCCTTTCCCAATAAGAAATCCAGACACAGGGCCGGGGATGTAGCTTAGGGGCGCCTCACCTGCCTTGCAACCCCAAGGTCCTGAGTTCAATACCAGTACCAAAAAAAAAAAAAAAGAATCCAGACATAAACTCGGATCTCAGTTGGAAACACCTCCAGAAACTGAAGCCAGAGACAAGACAGTTTCAACAACACCTCCTCACACCCAGGGGTGAGCAGGGGTGCAGATGGCATGGGAGACACAGGCAGCCGAGGACCAGCAGAGCGTGGCAGCCGGGCCTCACCTCAGGTATCAGCCGCTTCCTCTTCACACTGGTGACACCATCCGGCTGGCCGTCGCTGCCCAGCTGCCGGCGCTTGCTGGAGACTTGGAGGGTGGTGAAGACACTGTCTAGAGGGTGCTTCTCCACGGTCCTGGAGCTCAGCGAGCAGTCCAGAGCAGCATCCTCACTCTCAGCCTCCACCTTCACTGTGTTATTTTTTAGAACTGCGGCAGAGAAGAAATAGGGCTCAGTGAGAAGGATCAGGCCACTCCCTGAGACCAGCAGAGCTCTCTGAGCAGCAGGTGTTTGTGGGCCACCCCTCTGGCCGTGTCCCTCAGAGAATAAAGTTTAGTCACACAAACATGCGCTTTCCAACAATGTGATCTTTAACTTACTATGCTAGTGCTATGTAATGAAACCATGTTCCAAGCTCAAAATTGGTTTAAAAGTCTTTTGTGGGGAAGCAGGAAATGGAGAAAAATAACCAAATATTATCTTTTTGGTGATTCTAAACTGTAACTCTGGGCCGGCACAGCTGTAATCCCAACACCATGGGAGGCTGAGGCAGGAGGACTGCAAGTTCAAGCCCAAACTTGGTGACATTAGTATCTTAGCAACACTCTGTCTCAAAATCGAAAATGAAAAAAAGGGCTAGAGATATAGCTCAGTGCAAAGCTCCTGGGTTCAATTCACAAGACTGCAAAAAAAGTAACTGAAAAAATTCATGAGATGCTTATAACAGGTGTGTGGGTAGAGGGGGATGGAAACATGATTAACTGTATTAATTGCAATAATGATCTCTTACTGATCTTTTTATATTTTTGAACTATGTGAATGTATATAACTTATTCAAAAATATTAAATTAAAAAAAACTTTTACCTTCTTCTACATCTTCACTGAATTCAGTTGAGTTCATCTTCTATTCCACTAAATGAAAAGACAGAGAAAGTCTTCATTTATTGCTTGATTTTTTTCCTTAATGTTCTCTACCCACAGAGAAATACTGACAGGCAGCCCTGTGGAGAGACGCATTCTCTTTGTGGGGCCTACAGGTGCCAGGAAGCAGCCAGCACTACCTCCGCCTGCCAGAGCCCTTCTCAAGCCCTCTTGGGGACAGAACACGCTTGAAACGCCCATGGACTGCCACTTACTGGTCAGGGGAACATTCCTTGAGCAAATCAAGTCTTAAAAAAGCCCCCAAATTGGATGATCCCCCTTTGGCCTCTGCTTATAAATTCTAGGGATGAAATGAAAGCCTAAAGAAGGAGGGCAGTTGTGATTTCCAAAAAACCAAGCTGAAGTCTTAACACCCCAGGTAGCCAAGAGACCTGTGCTGTTCGTGACACGTGGCCACCAACAACTCAGAAAGTGGACAGAGCAAAGGGTAATTTGCTGTAAGTATAAAATACACACCAGATTTCAGACTCAGCCTAGAAAAAGCAATGTATAACACTGCATTAGTAATTGTTTGATATTGACCGCATGCTGCAATGATAATATTTTGGACTTATGGGATAAATATTTATCAAAACAAACTTCACTTTTAAATATGGTTATTAGAAAATTTAAAACTACACATGGGGTCCCATTATATTTTTACTGGATGGCACTAAGGTAGCCCTTCCTTCAGAAGAAGAAGGCGCAGACGTGCGCTTTCCTAACAGATCCGGCCAGGAACAAGGCAGAAAGGGTGCAGTGGCACTGTCGCAGCACAGCCACCCCTGAATTTACTGCCCTAGCCAAGACAAAACCAACACCAATGTCAATATCACAACTAAGTGCTTGGGATCCCTCAAATTCCATGCAGCATGTTCATTAATAGTCAAAGGCACAAATAAGGTAGTAATATTTGGAACAGAGGTTCCAAATTGCAACCTTTAATGTTGCCATTGCATAGCTGTGGTTCCCACAACGATTCTGGTGACTATGGGCAGAGTTCTCATTTTTGTTACAGACAACATGGAAGGACGACCACGGAACATCTCGTGAGACTTCTGTCAAAGGGGTGCCACCTACAATGTTCAGTAAACATTCAAGGGGTCAAGGTCTAACACCCCAGCCCAGGAATGCTGTGTGGCCAACATATCATCCTGTTTTACAGGAGTGGACGAGGTGGTTTTAGGTCATCCACACACATAGAAATAGCTTAAAAATCCACAAGAATGGGACTGGTTACCTAGTGTGTCTGTTGAGCATCCCAGTAACACTGAGACAGGCCTGGTTCTTTTCATTCCTGTATTATACTGCCTTTCAGAGGACTAAAAAGAAAAAGATTTAAAATTAAAAATAATTTCTTCTCACAAAGCTGTCTCTTATCTGAAAAATACCCCGAGTACAATATTACTGAAGGAAAACACTAGGTCAACTTTAAGGATCCATGCACTATTTTACCAGGCAGAGTTTAGCAATTCTTCCATTGTACTTCAAGAAATAAAGCTTGCCTGTGTGCTGGGCATGCCCGAGGGGACAAGAGAGCTGGCTGGGCCAGGCCAGGCAAAAACCCAGGCCTGGTTTCCAGCCCAGCTGGGAGCCGAGTGCCCTTGGAAACTGCCACCCAATCACATATCTACCCCTCCAAGAAGGGCAGAAGTGAGAACCAAAACACAGAGACAGGCTGTCAGAGGCAGGTACAATGTACAAATTACATTCTTGAGATTAAAAGATGGAAAGAGAAGAGACAGCAGCTGATTTACTTGAAGAAAAAGGGTGATGGCGGAAAAAATACTTTGAAGATTCTGGCTAAGCAGAAGTGTTAAAAGGATGAGCAAGATGGACCTGGTGGCGCATGCCTGTAATCCCAGCACTTGGGAGGCTGAGGCAAAAGGATGCCTTGAGCTTGAGGCCAGCCTAGGTTACATGGCAAAGACTGTGTCTCCAAAAATAAATAAATAAATAATCAATCAATCAGTTAATAAAAGGGTGAGCAAACACTAGAAGAAAAGAAAACAAAAACCCAAGTGTGGTGGTGCATACCTATAATCTCAGCACTCTGGGAAGCTGAAGCAGGAGGCCTACCAAGTTTAGACCCAGTCTGGGCAATTTATCAACTTGGCAAGATCCTGTCTCCCTGTCTAAAAATAAAAAGTGAAATAAAGGATTGAGGATATAACTCAATGTGAAGGACATGGGTTCAATCCCCAGTACCACAAGTAAAAAGAATTTAAAAAAAAAGAAAACAAAATTGGATGAAAGCACAGCGCAGAGAACTAGAGGAACAAGGAAGGACATGCCATGCATCTACCAAGAAACCCACCCACCCATGCTCCTCTGGCGCCAGTCACATAAGGAGCCGTGGAGTCACCACCATGTGACATTACAGTGCCAAGTCAGCACCATAAAGGTGAAGCCCCAGATGTAACAACAGGAGCACACATGGGGAAGGAGGGCGCTGGGGAGCAGGAAGTCTTGGGCAAGGTGGGAGGAAGGGCCAGGTGCCTGGGCAGCCAAGACATCTAGAACGCATCTGCCTTGGAAAACACTTCTTTGTCCTTTTGTAGACCAGAGACAGATGCTATGTAAGCATGGAGGCAACCCCAAGCCCCACAGAGCTGTACTCGTGGAAGCGTGTCGGCGAGGCAGGGAAGGTCCTCCTCATGTCCCAGCCAATGATCTGCACGCTGAGCACCTGGCTGCCACTGCACACACACCTGTGCCTCATACTCCGAGCTACCTGAATCCCAATGTCACCAAGAAAAAAACCCAGGAAAGGCCACTGGCTCAGCATCACAGACTGAGTGGCAGGACCAAGGTTGAAAGCGAGTCTGTCTGTACCTCCTATCAGCCAGCTAGAGGAGGAAGAGCAGAGCCCTCCTTCTCTTGGAAGGTGCTTTCGATGGGCCCAGTCTCAGGGCTCTGTCCAGCAGCAGCAGAGGAACCAACCCACTTTCCTTTCACCGCAGAGAAACCCAACCTGCCCGGGGCCTGGAGAGAGACTCCACCCCACAGTGCAAGGAGGTTTCTGCAGGGGATGCGCAGGTCACTCCCTGCATCCTCAAGCCAACTGTTGACAGCTTAGCAACAAGTCACGGCTGGGGAGAAAGGAGATGGGTATCATGTTGCTACCTCCATTTCCTGGTCATCTGTTCAGTGGAAGGTCACGAACTCTGCTCTTCGTGGGTGGACAACAGCACCCAGATGCCGAGCATGCCACAAACATTCCTTCCCATTGTGTAACTGCAGGTTAGGAGGAGCCACACGGCCACCATGGACCCTATAGCACCCAGCCACTGCCACGCTTGAGTCCTCCACCTGCTGGGCTGCGTGGAACTTCTCTTTCAGTGTCCCATGCCTTTACCAGCTTCCTTCTCACACAAACCTCAAACCAAATGCATGCACGCAGCTCCCGAAATCAGCTTTCTCCCACAGGATGCTGCGACATCTGCAGAGCCCCTTGAACAAGCCAGGGGAAGAGTTAAACAGATGGTGGTGGGAGTCCATGGGTCCTCCGTTCAGCCTCCAGCTGAACTGGGTATGGTGAGCATGCCTGTAATCCCAGCACTCAGGAGGCTGAGGCAGGAGGAAGCCCTCAACTACATAGCAAGACCCTATCTCAAAAACCCTAAAACAAAATGTCATAGCTTGTAAGATCTTGGTAACTCTCAAAAAGGACCAGTCTCCAGTGGTTAATTTAACAAGTAAAAATGCTCACATGTGTGCATATGTGTGCGTGCATGTGGGTGTTTTGCTGGAAACTGAACCCAGGGGCAGCTGCACACCAGGCAAGTACTCTTCTATGGAGCTAACCCCTAGGCACAACCCCTTCCCAAGAAAACAGTTCTGAGATCCTCAGGTAAAGGGACTGCATTGGCACAGAAGGGTTTGATGTGGGGCACAGCTTAGAAAGATGTAGCACAGAGTGAGATAGGCAATATTCCTTCATCTTTCCATTCAGGGCACATGGAAGAAGAGTATGAGGCATCAGAAAAGCCTTCAGTTTACAAAAGCAGAAAAGGAAAATTGGGCCGGGGGTGCAGATCTGTAACCTGGGAGGCTGAGGCAAGAGGGTCACTGAGAGCTCAAGGCTAATAAAACAAACAAAAGCCCACACATACAAAAGGAGGGCGACTCCAAGTATTCATAAGTAACAAAATGCTTTAGTCGCTCAAATATCAAATTACAAGGACAGGTGTATAAACTGGCTACAAACAATAAAGTGCAGGGCTGGGGTCTGCTGTGCCTCGAACATGGAGAACTGAGGCAGGGATGAATTTGAATCCTCCCCAGTGGCAGGCACCCAGGAATGGATACTGAGGGAGAGGGAAAGTGTGGAGATCAAAAAGGAGGCCAAGAAGAACCACACCACAAGGAAATGGAAAAACTGAAATAGTTCCACATTACAGGACATTTTAGATCATTTTAAGACAGAAAATACTTAGCCAGGCATGATGGTGCACTCCTGTAATCCCAGCACTCAGGAGGGCCGAGGCAAGGCCAACCTGGGCTACACCAGGAGGACACCCTGTCTCAAAAATAAAATAAAATAGAAGACAGAAGATATTTAGTGTTTTTACTCAGTAATACAACCAGTGATCAAAAAATACTGTGAATAATTTTTTTAATTTATTACTGTAAAAGACACACTGCCATTAATCCCCTCTCAGTACACTCCCTGGCTTCAAACGCTTTTCCTGCTGTCATTGCCACTTTGTGAAGCAGTCCTGCAAGTCCTTTCTTGACTGTCTTTATGAGGTGTGATCAAAAATACAGTGTACGTGGCTTCAAGTGCCATCCAATAGGAAGGCAGGCTCGTAAAAAACGTTACACTATGGGGCCAGGGATTTAGCTCAGTGGTTCCGTGGCCTGCCTCACAAGTGCAAGGTCCTGAGTTCAATCCCCAGTACCAAAAAAAATAAAAAAATAAAAAAGTTACAGTGGATTCTCACCCACCTTATTCACTGGATATGGTACCACTTCTGGCTCTTCCCCAAGTCGAAATGACCATAAAATGTTTTCAATGGATTCAGGACATCAAGACAAAAGCGCAACTAAAGACATTCATAAAAAACTTTTAGAACCTCCTCAGAACCCAGTAAGAAAGATGGGGTAAGTGCATTTAAAGCAAGGGGAAGTATTTTGAGGGAGATTAATGATGATGTGTCTTTTACTGTAATAATTTTTTTGAAAATGTAAATATACTCTAAGCTGGGAGCAGTGGTGCATGCCTATAGCCCCAGCACTTGGGAGGCTGAGGCAGGAGGACTGCTGTGCATTAAGAGGTCAGCTTGAACTGCATAAGAACACTTTGCCTGTCTCAAAAAAACTCAAAATAAATAAATACAGACAGTCTTCTTCAGTCACACCTTGTATATCCACATGGAACAATTTAAAAGGAATGAAGAAATCTTGGGTTCAAAACTCCAGTGTCCAGTCACTGGGTTACTGCATTGGAGGCAGCATAAGTCAGCGATGGTGGTGCACACCTGCAATCCCAGCACTCAGGAGGCTGAGGCAAGAGGATTGCCTCACCTTCTGGGCCACCCTGGGCTACACAGTAAGTTCAAGACCAGACTGGACTACAAAGTGAGACCCTGTCTCAACAAACAGTCTTTCCAGAGATATTGTGCATCCTGGTTCTCCACGAGGGGTGTGCAGAGCCAGCTCAGTGGTGGTGTGGCATGCTCCCCGACTCCACCATTAGCAGTGGGGAGCCTGAGCTGGCCAGAGTGGGAGAGTGCAGTACTCACATCACTGAACTGATACCATACACAGGGCTCTCTGAGGGGCTGGGGGACAGCTCACCTGTACAGGACCACGAGATGAAAAACTATTTTTCTTACTGTCCCTTCCTCCCCTCTCATTCTCTCACAGTCGGGAGGGGAGCTTTCCAGAGTTCACAGACCACGTACTGTGGCAGCCAGGGAAACTCAACTGTCTTCTCTGCCTCTGTCCTGACTCTTGGGGCAGAACCTGGCTCCTGCACTCGAGGCAAGTACTCTACTCTACCACTGAGGGATGGGCCCAGCCCTCAGCTGTCTTCTCTTAAGCAAGACACTAATGAGATTTGCAAAAATGTAAATAGTATTGCTCATTTTATTAGCTTTTTATAAAATAGCTACATGTCAGAAAAATGTTATTCCATATCCTTGTAATGGATGTAATGGGTTTATTCTTGTTATTATTAGTCACTGAAAATTAAGTAAATATTTAAATTTTTCCAGCTTTACTATAACCTCATAAATATTTGGGTTTTGTTGTTGGGTGTTTTTTTTGTTTTTCGAGACAGGGCCTCACCGTGTAGTTCAGGGTGCCCTTGAACTCACTGTGTAGCCCAGGCTGGCCTCGAACTCTCAGTGATCCTCTTGCCTCGGCCTCCTGAGTGCTGGGACTACAGGCATGCGCCACCACACCCAGCTATTAACATCACAAGTATTGACAGTTATGATTTAACCCACAAAAATGAAAGCTCTAAAGTAGCCAATAATTTTCGTCTAAAGGGCTCTTGAGACTAACGGGCATGATAACCCTGCCTGCCTCTTGCCTTTTGTCCTAAAGTTAAATCAACATATCCTAAAAATTTGTCCATCACTTCTAATTTTGCTTCGAGTTCCCGAGGGACAGATCTTGAGATGACAACCAGAGACAAGTGGTTCTCTGGGAGACCAGGCTGGCTCCCGCACCCTCCACTCCTCCCCGCCACACCACAGTGCTCGCACGCACGCACACACCCCAGCCAGCACGGCGGGGAGGGCGGGGAGGGCTGTGAGGAGCTTGCCGTGGACTCACCCATTCTGCCAGGCAATGGAGGCAGAAGCTGTTGTCCATTTTACAGGCTGAAACTGAGGTGCAGTTTCAGAGCAGAAAGGGGCCTCCGAGAACTCAAGGGCGGTCTCCCCTACA